AGCAAATTGGCTTTGGCCGTAATAAATTTAGTTAATTAAATCATCTTTGTTCTTAGAGAAACAGTATTGAGTAGGAGCCTCACTCAATGGGATTTTCTCCCACAAGAACTCACCTTAGGGAATTTGGAGGGGCAATTTGCTTGTTTAAAGTTTATTCAAGGGTCTGGGAGGCTCAACAAGGCAAGGATTTGTTTCAGGTGAACTCTGACGAAAAGACTCCATCTAAACACCTCTTGGTAGGGCAATATATGCCAGCCAAAGTTTAAAATAAAAGATCTATACTGTACGCTTAATGAGATAAATGATACCAGAGATGGGGACATGCCAGTAGGTCAGTGTTCACTGACATTCAGTTTGTGTCTGAGACATCCTTGTCATTGTTGGTGCTAGGCTTTCAGATACGAGCAATCCTTTTAGTGTTCTGCCATTTCAAATCTCCTACTATTGTGTGACTCGACTGGGGCAATTCTGGGCCATCGCACTAAGACTAGAACTCAACGTTAACAAAGGATTGGTTATGCTGCCTCGGAGCTGGACGGTGAGACATCCCCTAGGGTCAATCGTTGTGAACGATGTATTTAGTTTGGTACATATTTAGAGTATATTGTGTAGACTCTCTACATTTTTACCAGCATTTTCTTCTTGCAGTGTTTACCTTTTGGGAAATAGTCTTTCCGAGCATATCCTTAATGGCCAGCAAAGCTTTGGAATGGATGGGTGGCCTCAGTCATTACGGACTAACTTCCCATTTTAGACTAGGAATTTGTGGGGTCAAACCCCGAACAAAGAAAGAGATTCTAGCTCACTTAGCAGCCATAGGAATGCAGTGGCAGCAGAGGGTCCGAACTGTAAATCAAGCCTGTCATCTCCTTGTCAACCGAGAAAACCTCTACTCACTCGGTGTGAGGCTAAACGGTGTGATTAGGATTTTTAATTGTTTTCCAAAAGGTTGAAGGAAATTAGACTCATGAAGCATTCATTTTAGCTGAACAGGGAGTATGACTTTAGGAAAAGGGCAATTAAGATGGTACTATTTACAAACTATTAAGTGATGTGAACATCTGCCACAGTGGGACAGCTTCTCACCAGGGCAGCTGAACTCAGGATTTCTTCAAGGGTGTTTTACGAGGGCCTGCACAGCCCAGGATCGGTGGGGAGTAAGCATGTACATCCCGGGGTCGGGGGTGAGCTGCCTACACAGCCCAGGAACTCAGGTTTTTTCCCTTGCGATGTCTATGATTAAATATATGGACAGAAACAAGCTTCCTCCCTTTTCTCCCTCCTCCTCCACCACCACCACCACCAAAAATCACCTCTGGCTTTTTCCCTCATGAAGTCTGGGGAGACCTTTTTTTTATACGACTATACCCAGAGGCAAGAGGAGTCAGCGGCCAGCACGTTCTTTTCACCTCTCTGAAAACTTGATCAAGAGCAAAACAGTTGCCTCTAAAGCTGAGAACAGAAGGCTGTTTGGGACAATTTATTGCGATGATTCAAGATTCTTTATCCATTCCACAAAATATTTATTAAGTGCCTACTGTGCCTACTGTGGATGCTCTAGGCAGTGACACCCAGGCAATGGTGACTGCCAAACCAAACTTGGTATATATATTCATTCCCAAACAGCAAAACAACTAAATGGGAAATGAGAGGATGAGGCCTTACTTCTGCGTACCATGTGGAACAACCTGGCTCCAGCCCATCTGAATCAGTCAATGGGGAGAAAAGGACCTGCCCAGAGCTGCAGTAGGGGTCTGAGGGTGTAATTATCACACTCTGCATTAGAAAAGAGCCTTAACAATGGACTGTAAAACTCAACCATGCCTCTTGACTAATGCATCAAACCAGATCATACCAGTTAATAAAAGTAACGAGGCTTACATGGCAGAGCGATTCCATTTAGAAAATCTATTGCAAGCACCTACATGGGAAGAACTTAGCAAGCGAGTGCTGTTTGTGAAGACAGCGTGTGGGACCTGTAGACCGTCAAAACTGAGTGGTTGAGGTTTATACAGTGTATGCACACCCACGCACAGGAGACCTCACTGATCCCTTGGAACCTGCTTTATGGTAGCAACGACTGTGTCCCTCCGACTCTATTCCAATGTTAAGTTACCAAACAGATTTGTGCACACTTATTGCATACCATGCAATAAATTGCCACAGGCTCGTCTGTGTCGGAAAGTTAAAAGAACGACAATAGTAACTCAGTAGAAAGGATTGAGGACGATATTGTTAGAGAAGAGACCTTGTATTTCTCAGGTGATGTCCGTTGAAGTATAAATTCTTTTTCTGACATATGTCAGAAGTGACTGAGTGATGTTAATCATATTCCTCTAAACATGACAGCCACACAACATAGGCTCAGTTACACAGAGTCAGTCTGTGGGACTGGACCCGATATGTATCCAAATATGAGCATCAGAACTGTATTACGTTTGAAGTGGGAAATTGGTACTGATGGTTAAGGAGGCCAGGACTGTTGCCAACACTGTTAGTCCAGTGAGTCTGACTTTATGGGGAAAGCCAGCACGCTGCTGGGTCAAGGACTGGGATGGAGCAGTGGCTACAGTGGAAAGGCAACTTCTCCTTAGACTTAGCCCCTGACTTTGGCCAAGTCTCTCCCCACGTAGACTTGTTAAACTCTTTAGAGACTTAGCAATAGCTGTTGCTGGGACATTCATTTAATTATCATTAATTACTACCTTCTGATTTCAGTCATAAACATGCATATATAGAACTCTCCCGTTTAACTATCATGCAACCTTGCTTTTGATTGTAAACACACTGTTCCTTCATAACATTAGCAAACAAAGTTCCCAAGTGGCACCCAAGAAAAAGCCACATGGGTGAACAAAGGAATAAATTGGAATTTGTCGTTTTACACACAGGGACTGATTCATATTGGAGTGAGTTTCCAGTAACACCCACAAGCTTCTCCCACCTCCAATGTATCCTCCTCTTCTCCATGATTTCAATGTCTCTCAAACTCCAAACCAACTTATCAGATATAGGAACGGTGGGGCTGAAGATGGATATTGCCACCCCTATTGTAAAGAAGAGGACACTGCGACGAGAGGCCATTGTCACACAGACCAGACTCATGGGTGCAGAGGCATTTCCAGGAAAGCACTGAAAAGTTTCTGCTGTTGTTGTTTTTCTAGAAAAATATGGCAGATTTAATTAATGGCTAAGCTTGTTTATTCTGTTTATTCTACTTCCCCAATAAAAATTATTCCTTTTCGCTTCTTGTCGCAGGAAGGAAGGATGCTCTGTGATCCACAAGGCAAAATTAAATAAGTAAAAAAAAATAGAAGTTATTTTTGTTGCTGATAACTTTCTTCAAACAAAAGCAGGCAGAAAGATTCCAAATACATTTATGTTTTATTTTTTCTTATAAATAGAATACAGTAGGGTGACCATGGTTTAGAGGAATCTTTTACATACATTATGTCGAAGAAAGAAGTTTGAAGGGTCCAAGCACAAAGACACTGTGTTTAAAAGGAGTCGGGCTAATTACCCCAGTTTGAACATTAGAGGTTGCATAAGATTTGCTTAATTTTTACCTTATACTTCACAAATATGTGCCAATTGAAAAATAAAAATTAAAAATATCTCATAGAAATATAAACACAGAAAGGAGTTCACGTAATAATGTTTAATCTAGAAAAACATTAAAATTATGCTAACCACTGTAGCATATCTATATATCTATATACGTATATACATATGTAGATACATACATATATACATGTATATGGACAGCCAGTGAAAGTCCTCTAGCAGCGGTTCTCAAGCTTCCTAATGCTACAGGCCTTTAAAACAGTTCCTCATGTTGTGGTGACCCCAACCATAAAATCATTTTGTAGCTACCTCATAACTATCATTTTCTACTGTTTGAATTGCAATGTAAATAACTGATTTGCAGGAGATCCGATATGTGACCCCTGTGAAAGGGTCAGTTGACCCCCAAAGGGGTCACAATTCATAGGTTGAAAATCACTATTCTATAGGAATGAGTGAAAGGTTACTTAGTTGAAAACGCATACCATATCTTTCTGTCTTCGCTGGTTTATGTTATGTTTTTAGTCTCGTTGTGTGCTTAGTGTCTGACTGGCAATGCTACTGAAGGTAAACATCCTCACTCTGTGTTTTAGGAGGGTGAGAGGGAACATTTATTACCCTAAAGAATAAGTGTGTGGGAAAGAAGGTGTAACCTGTACAAGGTGGGTGACCGTCTTCGCTCCCCTCAGCACAGTGGGACTCCTCCATGATGCCAAGCTGCCACTGTCTTCCTTTCGGAACAACCACAGGCAGCATTGCAAAGAAACAGGTTCCTTCCTGTGCTCAGGGTAAAGGCAGTGGGTTTTAAAACTCAGCCATAGAACAGGTACCTTTAAAAGTGCCTGTAATACAAATACACAAATCTAAAATCAGCTTAAAAGTATTTAGAAAATCATCTAAGTGATGTGACTGAAGTGTCCACGGTCCTTCGCATCATTGAAAAGAAGCAGCCAACAGCCACAGGTGTGCTAATGAGAGAATCATGTAGACCACATCTTTTATTGGCATCCGGGGTCATTTGTAAAGGTGATTTTGACCATGTTCAATTTTTGCCTGGTGAACACAGAACTGAAGTTTTCCCTCTGGCTATCCCAACCAGCCAGTTTCAAAGTTCTCAGTAGGACTGAGGGGGTATGGGGGAGGTGTACTTTGCCTTGGAATCTTGCTGGGAAGTTTAGGTCTTACCTGGCAGTAGCACCCACCAGCCAGCTTTCCATAGTGACGCTTTAGGGTCTAGCATCGATATGACTTTTTTCTTTAACAGGCACTCAAGAGACCACTCTAGGAACTCAAGTAAGGAGAACCAATAAACTGGGAAACAGGGCCCGTGTTCATGTGTTTATGGCGATAGAAGGCTCCCTGGGATTGTCTTTCTCATGCATCTGAAGCAGAAGAGAGAGATACTCATGGGTTTCTGTTTTCCTTTAATCCTTCAGATTTATGAGGAATCCAAGATGAACTTGGAGCAGGAGAGGCCGTTTGTCTGCAGTGCCCCGGGCTGCTCCCAGGTGAGTGTGCGGATCCTCTGTATTCTGGCTTGCAGAAAATGCTTCTGCCTTGCCCTGGGATGGCATCTCTCATGGAGCCACCGTGTCCAATGGGCTTTCTTTGTTTCCTGAAATACTTTTTAAAGTGTCCCTAATCATCAACATCATGGTTCTCATCTTCACTACTGTTAGATTACACTTTATAGTTTGAAATACTTCCCTTTCATCCTGAAACACAGCAGTGTTGGCATGGCCATGAGTAACTTCCTCCGGAAGCAAGTCAGATGCATCCTGCCCACCATTTCCGCTGGGCGGTCATTCGGAAAGGGGAAGGTGGTGTGTACTTCACAGCCAACAATTGCATACATACTGGGCATTTTTGATGGGATGCCTCATAGTTGTGGGTTGAATTCTGGATCCCTTTTGAGGAAAAGAATACCCCTAAGACTGTTCTCAAACTCTAGTTCTTGGGCATAGAAGTTTTAAGAGGAGTGGCTATCTTGGCAAGCAGGATTGAGTTTGAGGGTCTCTGATGACTCTCTTCAAATGAAAAGTATGGAATTAGATGAGAGATACTGCCTCCATGGTGTTTAATATAGAGTATGAACACAGTAAGTGTTCAGTTAATGCCCACTGTTTGTTACCATAGTGCTGCGGCGGCGGCGGCTAAATCTGTTATACTAGACCCCATGACTATCATGTAAAATTAGAGTTTTGTGTTTTACTTTAAAAACTTGAGGGTGACTTTTTCTGCTCTTGCCTCAAGAGTCCATCTTTGGGGAGTATCAAGTTCTAGGGATTTTGATATGTAGAAATGGTAGTTTTCATACCAAGATCTTTATTTTATGGGATATAGGGAACAGTTCAGAGACTGAGCATAAGTATTTTGCAAATGTAGGAAATGGCACTCACTCCCTAATTTTCCTGCACCTTCAAGGGAGCCAAGGCTCATGCCCACTGGTTCATGGGGTAGAGTTGGCGGTCCTGCATAGGGCAGTGACGAAGGTCAGGTGGGAATCAGATGAGTGCCCTCCTTATAGTCTCCCAAAGTTCGTGGAGGATTCTGGGAGCATCTAAGGAGGCATTTTGGAGGGACAAAGTCACAGAAACACAGAACTGGTATTATCAGCCACCAAGCAAACAGTTTGGAGTTTTCAGCAGAGGTTTTTGTGGCAGCGTTTCTTTCTAACTTGTGATCAAGAAAAGGAGTAGACAAAGAAACATTTTGGGGCAAACTGGTTTTGAAAGTCATTCTAAAATAGGAAATACTAAGGAATGTGGGTAGGTTGCTATGTAACTGGGAAAATCCTGGTAGACAAGGCCTTTCCATGGTAAGCGCAGAATACCTCTTTACGAAGTTAAAACCTGGTCCTAACTAAAACAAAACTCCCCTTTGGTTTCTTCCAGGGGAAGCCTCCTTGGCTAAAGGAACGCAGATACTTGGAGAGGTTTGCTTGCTTAGCCCTGACGATAGTAAACAACATTAAGTGTTGACCACAAGCCACCTAGATGCTCCCTGGGTACCTACCTGTGTGTCTAGGCATTCTAGCTGCCCCTTGAAAACTGCACTTGCTCCAAATACAAGAATCTGTTCTCACAGACCTTCTGGTCTGGGCATCAGATCTGGAAACAAATGGTAGTGTCATCAATTAACTAGTCGATCACCATTTTTCGTAAAGAAGCAACAGACCAAACCATGAAACTGACTCTACTTGAGGTGGGGAGGTAAATGGAAGTCTTCGCTATGGACCGGGAACCTTTTTAGATCCAGCAAAGTATAAGGAAATGTCAGGTTAAGTTGGGATTCTGAGATATGTCCAGGGTTGGAATGCCAGTAAAGAAGAGCTTCTAGTAATATGTGAGATTCAGTAATTCAGACAGGATTAATGAGTGTAGATTAATATCTACACGTAATTATTGACCTGTATGATACACACTGTCCCAGACTTGGCATTATTAGCATCTAAGGCCAAGTGAGTCTTCGATGTGGGCACTGTTTTATGTTTTGTAGAGAGTTTGGCAGCACCCCTGCCTCAACCCACAAGACTTCGGTAGCACTCCACAGCTGTAACGACCAAGACATCTTCAGAGGTTGCCAGATGTCCTCTAGGGTTACACTTGCTCCTGGTTGGCAATGCCGGCAGTTCCATTTGGGTTTCCGCTTTGCTCTTTTGTACCCCTTTTGTTCTGGATGCCCAACTTCTAACTGACACTCTCCCATGCTATTTCACACAGTGCTCTAAGCCACCTTCCCCTCACTGGAGTCAGGCAGGGTGTAAATAATCAATGCCATCAGCATGTAGTCACTGGTGTCCTACACCGTTAGAGCTGGGATCCTTGGACGACGGAGCAAAGGCTGTTGGGTTTGGCAGTTAGTTGCTTTCGACAGGAGACGTGGGAGAAAGCAGAGGGTGGAGGCCTGATTGGAAGGGATTAATAAGTGAGTGGGTGGCAAGGGAACCCAAGTGATGGCACAGAGGAGCCTTTCAGGTCCAGGAGGCAGTGCCGAACCACAGTGATCTAATGGTGGCCTGTGAGGGAGGCAGCTTTGCTAAGGCTAAAGGACAGCCAGGATGCGTGTAGTCAAGAGTGAGAAGCCAACCAGAGAGCAGGAGCGATGCCAAGGAGACAGAGAGTGCAGAGCATCCCGTGGGGCAGTGGGCATCCTCAGTTAGTATGAGCCAAGAGGGGACAGAGGGAAAGTCTGCCAAGTCGCATGTGAAGTTTGACGGCACTGAGGAGTGTGATTGACATTTGTGGTTAAGTTTATTGTGTGTGTGGCACTGGGAATTTGAACCCAGGATTTCACATATCCTAGGCAAGTACTTTATCACAGCCTCATGCTCTGAGTTCTTGAACAGGCCCTGCTTGAATGCCCTTGAATGTCTTGTTGAGGAGGGAGCCATGGTGTTTCTTTAACAAGGCTAAGTGAACTGTGAGGAATTTGGCCAAATGTGAGAAATTAGGATTTATGTAGGGTTTTGATCTTAAGGGGACAGTTTCCAGCTTCCTCCACAGCTTTGGACGTGATGATGTACCTGTGAGTCTGTGTCGCCTTTGTATGACAGTGTTTCTTCCATCTTGACAAGCTGTTGTAATACTACGCCCATCTTTTAGCTGAATAAAAATGCAGCCATCAGCCAGTATTTCCGAGCATCCTCACCGTTGGAATATTAGTAACCCATAGACAAGTCAACTGCTGTGATCACGATACTTACCCTCATTCCTGTTCCATAATCTGGGAACCTGCAGGGAAAAGATTAGAGTCCCGCAAGATGGCTAAACAGAATTGTTAGTGTTGTCTTGGGGGAGGCGGTGGAAGGCTCCTCTGCTCCCCTTTCTCTTCTTCAAGAGAAACTTTACTTGGTTGGGGATGGCCTCTGATTCCTAGAAGATCTTTTAGCATGTAATCTGAAAATACAATCCTTCTCTCAGAAGGAACAGGGACCAACTTCCTATGTTCTTTCTATTCTCTTGGAGTCCAGTGTCCACACTCTCTTGGAGCCCAGTGTCCCCACTTTCTTGGAGCCCAGTGTCCCTACTCTCTTGGAGCCCAGTGTCCACACTCTCTTAAAGCCCAGTGTCCACACTCTCTTGGAGCCCAGTGTCCACACTCTCTTGGAGCCCAGTGTCCCCACTCTCTTGGAGCCCAGTGTCCCCACTCTCTTGGAGCCCAGTGTCCACACTCTCTTAAAGCCCAGTGTCCACACTCTCTTGGAGCCCAGTGTCCCCACTCTCTTTTTATGCTCTGTATTAACTGTTGTTTTCAACTCTCATGTCCATTTTACCGTGCATCTCATTTCTTTATCCTTAGCTGTGACTTGTCCCATTCAGAAGGAAACGTTAGTCCATATGCAGTGTTATCGCCGTGGACCTGTAATCCCGGCACTCAGGAGGCTAAGCAGGAGGATTTTGGATTCTTGGCCAGCCTGGGCTAAATAGTGAGTCCTTGTCTAAAAAAAGGAATATATGGTTAACTATTTCATTCTAGTTGTTGTATGGCACTTACTTTAGCATTTAATAGTTTACAGAGTCAAAAAATGGCTTTTTATAGACTGGAGAGCTTCTTCAGTGTCTGGAGCAGGTAATGATGTCAGAGAGGACCCAAACTTTGTTCATAGCGCCCACTTCAGTCTGCACACAACCACTTAAAATTACAAGAGCATCTGATGCCCTCTTCTGGCACCTGAGTGTGCCTGTACTCACCTGTCTGTACCCCTGCCATGTCCATACTCTACATACACGCAAAACATTATTAAAAACCAACTTATTAAATCTGGAAAGATGGATCGGTAGTTAAGAGCACTGGCTGCCATCTCAGAGGCCTGGGTCAGTTCCTAACAGCCATATCGTGGCTCACAGTCATCTGTAACTCCAGTTCTACAGGATACAATACCCTTTTCTGGCCTCTGTGGATTTTAGGTTCATCTATGGCACACAGACATACATGCAGGCAAAATAATCAATCACATAGAATAAAATAATAAGTTTTTAAAACATCTTACTAACATGAAAGATATTGTCATATTGTTCATATTACATTAATTTCTCTCTCTCATTTTTACCAGTGTTTAATATTTGGTGTTAAGAAAATCATGAGAATAAACAATACAGAAGCAGAACTACCTGAAGTTATATAAAGTGTATCTCTGTGTAACCGGAAGTTGGGTGCAAGTGCCACTCTTTGCAAACTCTTCAGAATATGACGTAAGCATCAAGTACATAAGTGATGCTCACACAAAAACCACCTTCAGAACCATTCATAGGATTCAGCCTAGTGAATTCCCTTGGTCAAACACAAATCCATTCTCCTTGTAGAAAAACCTTCAGCCATGGTGTACAAAAGTAATAGAGATATGGACCATCTTGAGTTCTACAAGTTTCTTTTTAAGTTATCAAAGATTTGGAAATGTTCATCAGGATGTATTATTTTCCTGTATTTGTATTTGACTTTAACAAATCAAACCTTACTACATAAAAACTTTATTCAGTTAGTTCAATCATTGCAAACATACCCAACATACCCATCTGAGCCAGGTGAGGTTAGAGCCTGCTCAGTAAAGAATTACAGCCAAACCACAAAGCTCATTCCTGTTACTGTTGGCTACATTTTTTATGGTAGAATGTTTAGGAAACACTTTTTTCTCCTTTAGGATGCAACATAATGCTTGAGAGATTTAGAGTTATTGAGGGGCCACTATATCTGGTGTGAGTCACCTTGCTATCCCGCGAGTAGGGCAAGGGAGATAACAAGGGGGTCGTACACCAGAGACCAAATGTTTGCCTCTGGAAGATAGGCATCATCCATTCATGCTGCAGAGGACAGAGTCATTCATAGGGCTCTACTCAACACAGCAGAGCCAGAAATGGCCCCAAATAATTGGAAGCAACATTTTTGGCAACCCTAACACCATTCCCTGAAAATTTCAAATAAATACAGGCTGACTACAGTATTCGGAGTATAGAACACCCCAAATAATTTGTCATGTTGCTATAAGATCATATGTATAATTAAAAGAATTAGATAATATGTGGACTAGGCCTTCATAAACAGAAACATACTGTAAAGATGTCACGGTGTGCAGTAGTAGATAGATTTTAAAAATTAAGCATAACATGGACTTCTTTCCCAAAGTCTGACATAAATCAAAATTCTTTCTATGTCATGCGTTTCTCTTATTTTTGCTTAATCTGTAGATAATGTCTAGCATACTTATCATGCCTTAGACTTAATCTTACACTATTATGTAAAGCAGTAACTATTACAGAAAAGTTCCACATGGTTTTGCATAGTCCCAGTGCTACCAAGATCTCCATCCATTTTCTCATTTTGGATGTTATGCTCTCTGCTGCCATTAGGTACATGGCAGGACTGCAAAAAGTGTTCTTTTCGACACAGTAGTCTTTACCTAAGCGACTTCCTAAGAGAGCCAGGCTCTAGGATGCAGTGTCTTTTGGGTGTGTTGCTCCAGTACCTTCAGCGGGGCTCTCTTGCACCTTCTGTTTTACTATTTAGCAAAGGATAAGACAAAGTTCAAAGACTTTGAACTTGAGAAGTTTTCTTCCCCCACATGGAAACCTCTAGCTGTCAAGAAACACAGGGTTTCTGCAGTTCCCTGATAAGCCAGCCGGGCTTAACAAACAAGTAGAGGACTTTGGGAAAATTCTGGGGAACTGGAGAGTGACTAGAAGCAGAGCCCGCTTATCAGCACCCCCTGCAGCATAGGCAAGCCTTTCGGTAAACAAATGGACATGATAACGCATATGTTTGCATATAGCTGGGAGGACCTGCCCCCGCCCAATACCAGCACATGTGTGTAAATCTGTGTGGAACTGTGAGCTGGATTTGCTTGTGTGATAACATTTTTTTTTCAGAACTGATTTTTTTTTGTCTTGCCTGTCTTGTTTCTGATGCTGAGTGTCTTTTTCACTGTGTTGTCAATTATGTGTTGCAAACTAAATGTCTCCTGTTCCTCTCTCTATTTCCCCAACAGCGTTTCCCGACAGAGGACCATCTCATGATTCATCGGCACAAGCATGAGATGACTTTGAAGTTTCCTTCAATAAAAACAGACAATATGCTCTCAGGTAAGAAAACATCAGGCAAGGAAGATTTGCAGGGTCAAGATTAGCTTCACATAAAACCATAAGACACTCATGTTTTGGTAGCTTGCAGTCCAGTGGCAAATCTGTATTTTGAAAGTATATATGTCTAATCTATAGCAGAAATATGATCAGCTAGAACCATTGATATCCAAATAAATGAACTGTCCCCTCTTTTGGTGCGTGTGTGTGAGAGAGAGGGAGAAGAGAAAGAGAGAGAGAAAGAGAGAGAGAAAGAGGTCTTAGGTAGCCCAGGCTGTCATCAAACTTAATATGTAGCAAGGATTCCCTTGAACTCTTAATCTCTCTGCCTCCATCTTCTTAATGCTAAGGTTATAGGTATGGGTTATAGGTATACAGCTTCTCATTTTTCTATTTGGCACTGAAACGTGGCTCCATGTTACTTTAAAATTACCTTAGCTGCACAGGTAACAAATGTAAACTGAGCCTCTGCCATGTACTGTTCTGAAGATATGTAAATGGATCCATTTCCTGCCCCATGGCTATCAGAGGAGGCCTACCTGTGAACACTTGGTTAAAATCAAGGCTCATCAGTGATAGACATCACATGAATGCTGTAGGGGGCCAGAGCTGTGTGACTGTAGTAGAAGGAGCACAGGAGATGTTCCAAGAAGTTTCATTTCCTTAAGAAAAATCACACTTGCCTCTTAACTGGATGATTAGATGAGATCATGCATAACAAATGCTCAGTGAATGGGAGCAAAATAATAAGAATTAGTCCATCAGCTAATTTCCATTTCTTCCCATGTTAAAGGGACATTAGAAAAATAATGGTATAAGAGTGAGGAACTTGGAAGCTAGTCTGGGCTCTTCCTTGACTGTACGACCTTGAAGAAATAATTAAACCTTCCTAGGTCTCAGATCCTTTCTCCATCAGATGGGAATGATTGTATCTCTGCAGGGTATTTCACTAACTGAAGGTAGCCAGGTCATTTCCTTCTCACGAGAGCTATTCGACCTGCACCCGTCTCCCTGACATGAAGAAGGAGGTGACACTCCTCTGTCCACATTTTGATAGACCTCAGAAGGGAAACCCGTGGCTCATTTTGTCGTACCCACAGTGTCCAGGGATTGCACTGCCATGGCCACTAAGCCCTATGCAAATTGTCAGTTTATCGCCATGAAGGCTACGGGAAACTGGAGCAGCTATCCTGGAATCACCAGAGTTGTGCTGAGGGCCCTCCACTCTTAATGTCTGTGCTGATACAGAATGGGTTACTGCCTTCCTCACCAGGCTGTGCCAGGTTGTGTTGAACCATCATAGCCACAAGCCACTAGAGGCCTGTTCTGGTGCCGTGCTCTGCGTTCAAGAGATGAGTTCAAAGTGGACCTCTTCCCTTTTGTTCATCACCGCCTGTCTCCACTCTCTACTCTTTACCTGTCTTGTTTTCTTTTGTTTTGAATAAACAAACTGCTATTCCGGGACTGATTCCGCCTTTCGCGAGTTTAAAGAGGTGCAGAACTCGCATGTGAAGGGAGACAGAGACGCCTAGAAGGCGGCTGCCTTGGATGCTGTCACTCACCCAAGTCTGTTAAGGTGCACAGGTCTCAGACGCGAGCACGAGTGCATACACAGTAATTCCCAATAGTTAAACCGATTGCCTCTCCCTTTATTTTCCCAGACTGGATCCCTAGAATAGGCTGCCTGGTGGAGCAGGAGGAGGGCGTATTCAAGAGAAGTGGGCACATAGACTACGTGGCTGGCAATGGCAACCAGCAGCATGGGTGGTGTCTTCCGGGCAGGCTGGCCTGGCTCTGCAGAGCCTCATCTGAACAGCTGTAAAACATCAGTCTAAAATATGTGAACGCATGAATGATGGGGTGAGGCCCTTTGTCTACACTGCCTAAAAAGGGTTTCTGATTAATCTCCTGCCATCTGCCCATTGTTTGTCTTGGGCCTTTGTTGGCTTGAGGCTCTTCCTGCCAATCATCAGTAGGCCAGGTGAAAAAGAGTTGAGAGCCTAGAAGCCTAATTTTTATTATTGTGAAATTTGTCATGGAGAAAGGGAGAAAGAGGTGAACACAAAGGAAACAGCATGAGTAAGGCAGTGGCCTTTGATCCCCCTCTTTGTGTTGAAGTCAGTACGGAATGATTTTATACTCCAGCGAAGTGCTCCCTTCAAAACATGATTCTCACTTTGTGTGCTCATGGTTTCGTGGAGCTTTCTAGGATAGAGAGCTGTCCAGTTTGTGTAGAGAGTTAATGCTGGCTGTGTGTTGCATTCTAGGCCTATCCACACTGAACTAAAATAGCCTCTCTGTTACAAATTTGGACTTTCCTGCATTTGTTCCCGGAAGTGACTAAGTTGCATATTTATCAAAAAAACATCTAAATTTTTATAATTAAGGGTTTAGCATATATATATTTCTTTATAAATTTGACTGAACTTTTACAGTCTATAGCTTGACTTGTTTCAATTCATTTAAAACTTCCTTTGTCACTAAAATTTGTTAGTTAAAATATTATTTGCCTTTAGTCTGTTTTGTGTCTCATCATGAGATGATAATATAAATAAAATAGTAAATGAACATTAAGCAAAACTCTCCAAATTCTTCTCGATCCATTTTCAAACAGTATTTAATTGCGCAAAATTACATTTCAAATGAAATGGGACTTGCCATATCGTATGAAGAGAAAAGTGTGTTAGGTGTCCATTTGTATGGCTAGTGTTCGGATGACTTGTTAGTCTCTATTTTGGAGCATTGCTATACCCGTCACTGTTTGCAGCTATCATACTAAAGGAGGTGGTACAGTGTCACAGATGCACACTTCAAGAATAAGCGTCCAGAGATGGGTAGATAGCGCCGAGCTAGAATGCTTGCCTGGGATGTATAAAGCCCTAGCTAGGTTTGCTCCTCCAGTTTCATTATCCAGATCAGAAATACTTTGTTTTTCTGTAAGCTGTATTTTACATAGGTTGAGTAGAGTATGTTTGAATGGGTTATGCAGAACCGATTGTCACTGATCCTTGCCATGCATTGGAGAATGAATGCAGGTGACAGATATTTAAATGGATCTGCTCTTCCGAATAGATTAGAAGCATAGACTCTCACTCTAAGTGGGTAGACAGGGACAAGAGCGGGGTAGGGGTACTAGATTGGAGGTACAAAAGGATCCCTACAGCCTTTCCAGCTAAGGTCTCTCATTCTTATCTGCTCTCTATGGTAACTTTCCTGAGCTCACTAATGATGGTCATCACAAGTCTTGGCTTTGAGTTGTCCTTGCTCAAATGGAATATAGCTTCGTGATGAGGGAAATTGTAATACAGGTGGTTTTCTTTAAAAGGTTTACTTCATATGTATGAGTGTTCTTCTTGCATGTATGTATATTCCTGGTGTCCATGGAGGTCAGAAGAGGACACTGGATCTGGAGTTACAGGTGTTTATGAGCCACCATGTGGGTGCCTGGAACTGAACCCTGGTATCTTGCGGCAGCAATAAGTGCTCTTACCTGTGGAGGCATCTCTTCAGTCTTGAGAGACAGAGGTGTTAAGTGGACTTTGAAAAGAGAATCTGTAGAACACAATTTTATTTCATATGCAGATAAAAAAATTATTGGCCGTTCCATACACAGACCCATTCAACTGGAAAATCCCAGTGTGATTTCAGCAGAGATGATGAGGATAGACCATGGGGCTTAACTTAAATATTGGGCTATCATTGGGCTCTTGGGGATTCTTGTCTTGCCTGCCAAGCAGATCCAGCACACTGTTGTTTTTACAGGGTCCCAAGGTTCTATATATGAAAAATCAAACAGAAACCAGAAAGGGAATCAAAGCACCAAGGTGCAATGTTATTTATAGCTCCAAAAATCAGATAATATTTCAAATGAGAGTTCATTTGGGGGAAGAATAAAAAGGATCTTTTGGAGAGGACTCCCCCACCGTCTTCCTGTCATAAATCTCAGAGCCTGTAAGTTCCGTCTTTACTGTGGAGACAGGGGGGCAGGACTGTCCTCCAAGTCAGGCCTTCATAAGCACACATATGTGTATGATGATAGATTTTGCTCTGTGAAAGAGAGGATAAAATTGGAGAGTGTCATGGATCTTTCCCAAAAGCTTAACCCTACGCCCTGGGTGGGAGGCCTGCAAGGGATCCATATGATGTGGTGATTTGAATGTAATTGACCCTCATCAGCTCATTGGGAGTGGCACTATTAGGAGGTGTGGCCTTGATGGAGGAAGTGTGTTACTATGGGCTTTGAGGTTTCTTATGTTCAAGAGACTCCCAGTGTCTCAGTTCACTTCCTGGTGCCTGTAGATCAAGATGGAGAACTCTTAGTCCCTTCTCCAGCACCATGTCTGCCTGCATACCACCATGCTTCCTGGCATGATGATAATGTACTACACTTCTGAAACTGTAAATCAATCCCAATTAAATGCTTTTCTTTGTAAGAGTTGCTGTGGTCATGGTGTCTCTTCACAGCAATAGAAACCCTAACTAAGATACATGGGAACAGCCGGGAGTTGGTGGCGCACGCCTTTAATCCCAGCACTTGGGAGGCAGAGGCAGGCGGATCTCTGTGAGTTCGAGACCAGCCTGGTCTACAAGAGCTAGTTCCAGGACAGGCTCCAAAGCTGCAGAGAAACCCTGTCTCGAAAAACCAAAA